CACACAATCGGTCAGATCTGAAAGATAAATGTGATTACCAATAGGTCTGGTGGTAACCAGACAGCGTTAAAATGACAGAATTTCGTTGGCCTTCATTGTTCTGAATTTCCCTTGAAATATATGATACTGGTAACCTACTTCCACTTAGCCTGCCTCAAATAAAAATTGTCTGAATAATCTTCCCTATACCGTTATGGTAACTGTACTTTTTCAATAAATGAACCTAGTATTTTATAGGTTCAAAGAGACACAAAATCTCGTTTTTATTCATTCCCCTGGTAGTCTGTTTTGATCAAATAGAAACAGAGGCCTACCTCTAATTCTGGCCTCCTTCCAATAATGGCCTGGACCAAGATGTACCTTAGTGAAATAAAGGCCTCGTCCTATATTAGAGGATTTAGGGTAAATAAACTGACTTGAATTGAATAGAAGAGAATTCCTGAAAAACTAATATCTGTTCACAAATTGTGTTCTCCAACAGGTTAACTTCTTAGACTTAGAGAACTTTATTGCCATGATGTATACACAGAGTGTATACAAAACAAAATTTCATTTTGTGCAGTTTAGAAGTGAAATGAACATTTCCATTTTATAAAGTACATCAAATGTAAACAGTGTAGGAGAAAAACATGGTGCAAAAGGCATTGATGTGGAAGTTGAGAGCAGTGCAAAAACAAGAAAAATATATATGGTTTGAGTTGAGTTCTATTTGGTTTGATGTTATCAGTGTGATGCAGAGTCCCAATTTGTCACTTGATTTAGAGTTTTTGTTCAACAGTTCAGCAGTCTGATGGCAGCAGGGGAAAAACTGTTATAGAACCTGCTGGACCTGCAGCGGATGTAGCAACGCCTATTCCCAGAGGGCAGCAGGGAGAACAGTCCATGGTAGAGTTATGAGGGGTCGCTGATGATGTTATGGGCTCAGGATAGCGAGGCGATTAAATGTCTTTAATGGAGGGGAGTGGGGTCCCGATGATCCTTTCTGCTGTTCTTACCACTCTTCTCATGTTCTTCCAGTCTGAGGCGCTGCAGTCTTCACACAACACAGTGAGACAGCTGGTCAGAATGCTCTCTATGGTGATTCTGCAAAAGGTTGTGAGGATGGGTGGTGGCAGGTGGGCTCTCCTCATCCTCTGCAGGAAGTACAAGCGCGTTTGTGCCCTTTTGACGAGTGAGATGGTGTTCATAGGCCAGTTGAGGTTAACTGTGATGTGCACCTCCAGAATTTTTTATGCTGCTGACCACCTCTACAGCTGAGCTGTTGATGAGCATGGAGCGTGGTTAGGTTGCTTCTGCCTGAAGTTGACAATGATTTCAATTCAGTTTATTTATCTAGTGCCAACTAGATAAATATCCAACTTCTATAAACAAAGGTGTTGATGGCAGCAGCACAGCTGATATTTCTCTCCAGGATGGTGTCACAGCCAAACAGGAATAGACGAGGCAAAGCTACTATGAGAAAGCATAACGTTAGAGATTGAACTAGCAGATTCTGCAGAGTAGGAGAAGGGATCTCCTCTGTCTTCTCCACGTTCAGGATGCTCCACCTCCTCTATGTAGTCCTGGTTGTTGTAGTCTCTGATGAGGCCCACCACCGTGGTGTCGTCTGCAAACTTAATGATGTGATTGGTGGTCAACCAGGGGATGCAGTCATCAAAGTGAACAGCAGGGGGCTCAGGACGCAGCCCTATGCACAGAGCTAATGACATCAGAGGTGTTCTGTTCAACACAAGGGGGCGGGAGGTCATTGTAGTCTGTGATCGCTCGTTTGCCTTGCCATATCCTCCTGGATTTGCCGTTATCGTGGAAGAGATTCTGGACCTCCCTGCTGTGGTTCTCCTTTGCTGATCTGATGGCACGGTTCAAGTAGGCACGCGCTGTCCTCAGTGCCTCTTTGTCACCAGACTTGATGGCTGAGTTCCATGCTTTTAGTGATTTCTGAACCTCCACATTCATCCAGGGTCATTGGTTGGCCCGGGTGATAATGTTCTTTGTGGTGCTGCAGTCAATCTATTTGTTGAAGTAGGCTGACACAATTGTGGCATACTCATCAATATGTATCTTGTTTTTATAGGTTGCTGCAGCTTTGAACTTGTTCCAGTCCCAGCATTCAAAACAGTCCTGGAGTGTCTCCACGTCCCCCACTGTCCACACCCTGACCTGCTTCACTGCTGGTTTAGTGAACCTGATGCAACCCAGTCTCATTTTCCTATGAGACTGGGTTGCCTGATGAGCTGTTGGCCTGTATGTAGAAATTAGCATGACAGATAGGTGATCTGATGACCTGAGGTCGGGGTTGGGGGCTGCTATGAATGCATCTTTAATGTCAGAGCAGGTTAAGTCAGTGTTCTGACCCCGAGTTGCAAAGTCCATATGTTTGTAAAATGAGGGAGCAGAGCCATCAAGTTAGCCTGATTAAAATCCCCAGCAAGCAAAAGCTTAGATATGATCTATTTAGCAGTATCAATTTAAATGGGACTAAAGAAAATGCTGGCACACTTTAAATGGTTTTATTCTTTTATAAGAATAGGAAAACTGTGTATAACGTGCTTTCAACACGACTATTATTCATTGGTTAGTGTTTTAAAAGCCCAGTAATGACCAATTAGTTAAGATCTTGAACATGGATTTTGTTATTTTAACATGCAGAATACTTTATGAGCTGGAACCCACATTATCAGGCTCTGAATAAAACAGTTAAAAGTGTATTTTATTAAAAATCACTCATCTGTGTAGTTGGTAGAAAGGGTAAACAAGGCATTAGCATCATTAGAAGTTAGCAGAAGTTAGCTTTAGACAATATATCCTTTAGTACCAATAATTCACAAAATTACTCTTATAAAATCATAATACCTTTCCTTAAAAACTTCGACTAAAGATTAGTTATTGTATCTAGATTTACCATCGAAATGACAAAAATGCACTATAATTTAAGCATCTTAGACCAAAGAGGCAAGCATGGTATGAATATGGTGAGTTTTTATTTTTATTTTAAAAATTAAAAAGGTTTGGCACAATATAATCTGAAGGCGATCCATCGATGAATCCCTTCCCGTTGTCATCCACAAACCAGCACAGGACGTCCTTTCCGATTTTCACATCCCTGCTGAAATCTTTCTCCAGGTGCCTTCAGTGTGTTTGGATAAAAAAAAAAAAAGAATGATCAAATTGTCCTTCTTTTTTGTGTCATGATCTTGGCACTGATGACTGGCTTAATCGCTAACTCCATTTACCTGTCTAGCTCTGCCCGGTTTTTAGTCACTGCTCATCTTATCCTCCTGCTTCTGCCTCTATTTAAGGTACTTGCATCTAGTTATCAGGGCCAGATTATTCTTGTTCTCTCTTGCCAGTGGTGAGAGCTTTTTTAGTGTACCTTAGTGTTTCTGATTACCTGATGGTGACCTGTTCTGCCTCTCATCCACTGAGCCTGCCTTTTCCTGTCTGAACGGGAACGTCTGTCTGTCTTGTCTGAATACTGGGTCCTTTGTTCTGGGTCATGACATTTTCAGGTGAACATTTTACATTGAAGGTTTACCTGGTTACATTGAGGGTTTGGCCTTTAATGTACATAACTGCATCCAGTCTTTCCCCAAATTCTCCAGGATACAAATCTGTTAATTCAAACTCCACTCCATGGTAGAACTGACCTGGGGAGTACAAAGAGGAGTTAGTCATCACCATAAAGAGAAACGTATTTACACCCAACCACCAACACTGAGGAGGGCCACCAGAGAATGTTCTCCATGAACAACTGAAGAAATTAACCCTGTCAAAGACAATAAAGGTGTAGATCTTCTCCACTATATTTGGCTCCTTCCAAAAATAGCAAATTGGGGGCAACATTTAAAAAGCATTTGGAAAAGCATCAGCGGTAGCCATACGGACTGCTATCTGAATAGTGCTGACAGAAAGGAAGAGGAAGCAAGATGCTTCCTATTGGCAGTTCAGTCAGCAGCAGGACCTCCTGACATTCTAAACCAGTCCGGTTTCAATATACGTGTCCGAAGCTCCTTCTTTAGCTTTGTCTTCTGTTAACCCCATAAAAAAGGTAAATGGAAAGGAAATAGGAACAGCAGGTAGGTGCTATAATATGAGGTTTTCAGAAGAAGCCATTGAGTCCGTCCTGACCTCCTTCATCGCCACCTGGTAAGCTGCGGCCACGACCAGGAATAAAGGCAAGCAGCATATTGTTCACTCTACTTAGAGAGTAATCGGCTGCAATCACTGTTTACCCCCAGGACTCCGAAGCAAGTAGGAAAGATTGTAGCTTACCCTTCCCACCCAGGGCACAAATTGTTCCAGACTCTCCTTTCTGGCAGGAGGCTGTGGTCCAACAGGACCAAAATATAATGCCACCAAAAAAAGCAGCAAGTCTCATTAACAAGGCTTTAAGTCATGCTTTCCTCTTTTGAATAATACATGAATGATCATAAATGTAAATAGTATTTAATTTTATATTGTTGTTATTGTGTATTTTTCATGTCTGCAACTTAGATTTTTTTTTTCCTGAAAAAGCTTTACTTTTTTCTTCATTGTTTTATTATTATATATTATGCACATTATATATTTCTACATTTTCGTTTTTAAAAAAAACCTTTTTTACTTACCAATAAGTCCATGAACAGTAGAGGATAAATGATGACTGTCCAGGGTGTAGAAACCAAGGTAGTCTTGTTGGAAATGGTGTTTCTTCCAAATCTTTGTGTGTTTGATTATCATAAATTTAACTGAATGCCGCAGCATTACTGTGAGAGTGCAGTTGTTGGTCAGTCTGAGGACCAAACTGGATAAGAGAAGAAAATAGTGGAGACCCAGCTAAAAGAATGACAATAAATATTATTTTCTTTTGGACTCCATTGACTCCAAAGTAATATTACGCACCTGGCTTCTTTAATAGAGGCCGCATCAGACCACTTCAACCTAATCTGCTTTCCATTGTTGAAGACTAAGATATCATCAATGCTTACATCCAGCTTTACACCCAGCTTTTGGTGGTTGACACTAAAACGACCAAAGTAAGTGTTGTTCTTAGCATCAGCGGAGAACTTCTTTTTGCCAATGATTTGTCCATTCACGAAAAAACCTAAAAATGATTCACAGGAGTTATTAATAGTTCTTTCCTGTATCTCACATGAAGTAAATGTGTTGGTGAGGGGAATGCATGCAAGACCCAAATCAAACCTGATTTCTTGTCTTTGACTAGGTTGTAAATGGTTCCTGGTTTGTCATTGATATTGAAACACAAAGCGTCGCCTCTGTCTGGAAGTTCTATCATGAAATGAGGATCTCCATCCACTGCAAAAACAGCACCAACATTTTTGAATGAAGGACCTGAAACTTAAATGCACTGTATGAAAAGGCAAACCTTTTTTATTTTCTTAGAATTACCAAAACAATTCTTTGTTTGACAAATGGTTCATACTTCATGTATATTTCAACAAGATAGTCTGTTTAACATTTTGGACTATTTCTCCTGAAAGCATGGCTGTAATGTGGGTCAAATCTTTAAATGTTAACTGGCCTGTGCTTATATAGCATCTTTTCAATGTGGTTCTTTGAATATTGGTAACTTCCATGCATAGTGGCCATCCTGCCCATGTAGCTAAATTACGTTGTGGGTAATGACACCGTTTCAACAATTTAGCTGACCTCTTCACAAGGGTTTGGTTTTTTTTGCTGTTTATTTTACAATTTTTACCAACTGGCCTCCATCTCTGAGAGACAGAACCTGCGTTCTTCCTGAAAAGTGCAGCTAAATATGATTATTAAAATAAAAGTAGAAAGTTTACTAGTAGGTTTATGGTGTAAAAAGGAAAACAAGTTTTCAGGGTCATTAAGATAAGTCAGACACAAAGAATTTTGGAAAAACAGAAAAGATACATAAGTAAAAAGACTTTCAAAAAATAGTGGCGGATTTGAGGCTTACCATTACCCTGAACTCGGTTTGAGGCAGGTTTCCGTTGGTTTAAGTCAGGTGGATTGCCTGTTTCAGAACACAAATGTGGAGAAGTTAATAAAAATATTTTCTAGCATTATGGCTGGAAAAGTGTAAATGGGCCTTACGTCCGAGTTCTACATTTTGACGCTGGTCTGAAATTGAGGCTTACCATTACCCTGAACTCGGTTTGAGGCAGGTTTCCGTTGGTTTAAGTCAGGTGGATTGCCTGTTTCAGAACATAAATGTGGAGAAGTTAATAAAAATATTTTCTAGCATTATGGCTGGAAAAGTGTAAATGGGCCTTACGTCCGAGTTCTACATTTTGACGCTGGTCTGAAATTGAGGGAAAACAACAGAATACATAAAGCAATCAATCATTTAGGCATCAAAGACAAAAAATTATGTAAAATGCCTCGTGTAAATTACCTTCAGTCAGTTTATCAGCAATGAAAGTTTTCTCGGTTTCAGGCTTGGTCACCACCATGGAGGTGAGAGGAGTGACAAAGTTGTACCTCAAAGACATGCTCAGAGCCTTAGCTAAAGCTTGATCTTTTTCCTGCTCAGAAGCAATGCCACTGGTAGAGGAAAAAATGAAAGAGGAAGGCAAATGTAGGATTTTTTTTGTTTGTTTTGTTTTTCTGTATTGTTTAGCCAATATAATTCTGACAATAGATGTGCTGAAGCTAGATCATAGCCCACCAGATTTCTTTTCTCAAGCAGACCATTCTAACTGTTACCATAAGGTTCTGCTTTGTACTTGCATATACAAAATTGAGATAAAGCTTTCAGATCAACAGGTATTCCTTAGATATCAATGTGTGTGGAAGGCAAAACCTATGATGATTAAACAACGTTATTCAGGGTGGTATATACCTGTAGCTGCAGCTTAGTATTTAGTATTACTATGCATGGGCATGCTTGGGCATGTATAATAAAGGATTTATTAAGTTACTTCAGTAGGAACATATCCTTAGTAGCATGTGAGACTCCCCTTACATGGCCCACAATTGACAAAGAGGCAATCCTGGCCTCAGATATCAAGAGACACCCCGGATCATTGGCATACAAGGAGGGAGAGAAGGATGGCTGCATCCACCAGAGAAGGCCCGACAAGAGCATCCAGTGCTCTGCCCCTGAGAGGCCAACCCCAAAGGAGCCCAGTCCCCGAGCGGTCCGACCACAGAGGCCTCAGTGCTTACAGTAGCTCCCATGGGGCCACGGCATAGGCTTGCCACCTTGGCCGAGCCAATGCTTAGCCAAGGTGGACCCACATGAGAGATCAGGGTTCTGAGACCTGCGGACGCATCATCCCCTTGTAGGTACCCCAGAGGGCCAGGAGTCCTAGCCCTAACAGACAGTTTTACTCCCAGAGACTTGCAGCAGAAAATGCAGCAAAACGTGTTTCTATAAAGTGGTGTTTGGCAAGATGTGAATAACTTGTAAAACTCGTTAAAACACTGCATGATTCACAATATAAAAACAGGTCCAGAAAATGTTTTAAGTGGCCTGTTTGACTAACAAGTTTTATTTATGGTAAATGGCCTAAATAGTGCAAGTATACAACTTTTTCAAACCTTTTCTCCAACTGTTGCTGGATGGTAAGATAAGCCCACAAACGCTCAGTGAAATCACCAAAGATGTATTCCTCTTCTGGGTATACCATATCCCAGCTAAGCACACCAGCCTTTCCTTGTTCATGAATTTCCCCTTCAGCCTTTTTAGAAAATAAATTAAAAGACATGTTAAGAAAAACATGTTCTAAAAAGCTAAACCTGTTACAGTAAGGGCTTTTTGTTTACTGTTTGGGTAATATGTTCATTTCTCACCCCTTGGCCTGACACCTCAACCAAAAAGTTATCCATGAAGCTGTCATTCAGTCGACCTGCCACCACAATTTCTGAGCCATTGAACAGCCGACTGTATTGGGTCTCTGTCAAAGAGCTCACTGCATTGTCAGGATAACGCATCTCCACCTCTGAAAGAAGAGGACTGGAAACTTCCTCATAGAAACCCTGCGTAGTTTAAAGTTCACAATTACAGCCCATAGTATCACAGCTCACAAGTTCAGATACTCTGCTCAGCGTGTGCTCTTCTAAATTCGACGTCATACTTTGAGTTGAATGGCAGCATCTGAACCAGTGAAGATTCTTCTGGCGATTCCCTTGTTTTCCCTGCTCATCACATCCAGGAAGGAGTACTCCACATAATTACCAAATCCCAGACAGAACAAAGACATTTTTCCTCCGATGGCAGTACGAACATTCTCCTGGATTTCCCATATGTTTTTCGTTCCTGCAAGTGAACAAATACATTTATTAAGAAGATCTTGCATCCAAGACTTCTTAGGTTTTCTCAAAGTGCCTCTCAAGATTGTTAGGAGTCTACCGGAAATATATCTGTAAAGCTATTGTGCAAACATTATGAGAAAACCTGGGGGGGCTTTCCAACTGTTTATTTAATTTATTCTTAATTTATTTCTTGTTTCTGAGATGTAGTTAGGGCGGACTCACCAATGTTTGGCATCCCGTCAGTTAGTAATATAATCATATCTACACTTCTCTCTGGAAAGGTTTTCTCTTCCCTTCCTTTTTTCAGTGTGTGCACTGCGCTCAAAACAGCACCATTTATGTTTGTTCCTGAAAGATAATTAAAATAAAAAGTTTTTGTAAATATTCAAAATGTATCTTTTCAGAAATGTGTTAAGAGCTTCAGTAAGTATAATGCCATTCCTTTATAGACAAAATAACAATACAGTAGGACATATGATGCCGAGAGGCGCAAGAGCTGTAAATACGCAAACGTCTTAAAAACACAAAAATTGGGCTGGAAAACACAAAAATGTTGACAAAACACAAGACACTTTTAAAGAAAAACAGGAGTGCTGCATTCACAGAAAGCAGTGAAAATGAATGTGAAAAATGTGCTGTCAATGAATGATGCAAAGGGGGAAAAGCCAAGAAAAGAAAAATGCAGCAAGTAGAAAAAGATTTGGTAAGTTAGGAAAAGCTGCAAATGAGCTCAGCATAACAGAAGTGCTCCAGACCACAAGAGGGAGTGGACCATCAGCTCACATGGGACAATGAGCAATTGAGAGAAGGAATATTAGTCAAAGTCACATTTAATTTACTTTATTAAGATTCAGTTGAAATAAAGAAAACTGACGTAAAAATTATCTTCACCTCCTTGGGCCCTAATTGACTTGACATAATTGATGGCTTCTGAAACGCTTTGCTTCGTTGCCCTGGTGAGTTGTTCCCTCCAGTAAACATTGCTGCTTTCAAACTCAGTTATGGTGAAGTGGTCATCTTCATGAATTTCATTCAGAATGGACTGCATGGCTTCCTTTGTCTGTAAGAAAGTTATTTTCATTTACTTTCAGCAAGGGTGAATTGCTTTTTTTCATTTTAAAACAGGGATCTCAATTAGCTTTTTATGACTGAACAACACTGAGACTTGCTCGGTTTTCAAAAGTCACGCAGGGCTTTTTTCTATGATCGGCCTTGCTTGTTTTGTGCAGCTTTTGGCCAATTTGGTGTTTCATAGTTGAGTGGTAAGTGCTGCCGCACGCTTTGAACAATCGCTATCATGGGCGTCTTATCTCTTCCTTTTTCTGCCGCAGCCCTTGTATTCTTGGGACCCATGAAGAGGCTCGATTCGATCGACTGGTGGCAAGATCTACTGTTGATGGCAACTGATTTTTGGATGTGGCTTTTCAGGCGGACAGTCCGGATTTTCATTGCACTGTCCGGCATCCTCCGCTACACCTCCGCACGTCACCGCCCACGTACGTCTTCTCCGTCCTTCACTGCCAAAATATGGAGCTGAGCTATTTTTTACTCCGGTCCGGCCAGTTCAAGTCTGCTATTGTAATCGCACCAAACAGGAAAAAGAACATCGAGAAGATCTGGTGTGTCAAATTAAATTATAGTAAAAACAGATCGGTATCTAGAAATTAGAGCATAGTTTGTATATATTCCCAAAAACTAAGAGCAATTAATCAAATAATTGGATGCAGACTATTGGTGCTTCAACAGACCAGGAAGAAGTTGTGAGATTCTAGAGGGAATCTCACAACTTTAAAAGAAAATTCGTATTGCAGGAATGGATGAAAAGAAAATATTTGGGCAGAAACTGAACATCTGCTGGATGATGGTGGGGATTTTTTTTTTAATATGTCATATTAAATTAAGCGTTCACAGGGTTTATACAGGAATGAGGAACTCTAATTTAATGCTCTTTTAATGCTATTAGAAATAATTTTAATACTATCAACAAGTACCATGTACACAAGTTATTAGGTCACATGAAATAAGGAGCTGTAAGCACAGTTCCATGACTCAAGTTTGTATAT